GTGATGTATTATGTGGCCGGCTGAACTTTATCCATTTGAAGAAAAAAAAAGACAAAAAGAACCACAGGGCTTTGTCCTATTAAAACGAGGATTTCTTAAGCTATGGAATGTCTTCCTCTTACATTTCTGGACATGCTGCTGGGACCCCGGCTCTCTTGCTGAATGGAAGGACAGGCTGTTCTCAGCCAGCCCAGGCCTGGTCAGCCCAGCCTAAGTAGAAGAGGCTTGGGAAAAACCATGTCCGAACAGTGCAGCTGGACAGAGGGACTCCCCCTTCTCACTCCTCAGAACTCTTGTTAACCCCTTATGCTCCCTGTGGAAAAGCTGAATTATTGTGCTTTCTCAATGTTAATCCCCCTATTGGAGACAGATCACATTTGACGCTTATATGTATATTGCGTGGAGCTCGTTATGCCGCACTTTCTGCAGCGCTTTCTATAACAGCATTGCATAGAAGGACAAATGATCTGCAGCGCAGACTCCTCTGATGAACTCTGCTGGTTTTGATTTATGTTAGACCGCTTGTAACTGCACCGCCACGGAGGAATACGGTGGTCTGTTACGCAGCACTTTTAGGATTTCCTGAGCGTACACGGCTTGGAGGATGCATGTGGAAGTGCTGACAACCCTCAAGCAATCCCAGCGGTGATTGAACTGGAAGTGCAGCGCAGGGCACCGGATTCATACTGTGTGAGATTATTTTATTCATGTTTATTGAATCCTGTGCCTATCTTGTGGCATCCTGGCAAGGGAGACCCGGACCCTGCCAGGGTCCGGAGTGCAAGAGCCTGGTGCTCCCAGGTGAGCGGGCTGCGCACCAGATAATCTCGTCTGTTACGGATGCCACATTGAACAGGGGGGAGAGCAGAACTGTGGGAAACAAAAAGGCTTCAAGATGTAATGTGCCGAAACAGAGGATCTCTGCAGACTGACACCAGACGGCTAGAAGAGCGGGGAATTTACCCAGAGATTTACTGCGGAGGCCGAGAGGACTGCAGCTGCCCATTGCAGTAATCTAGCGGAGAGCCTGCACACTGCCTCTGCCTGACTGCTGCCGCTTCTGTCCCTGGGAACCTTCCCTCGCTGCCTTCTGGGATCCAGACCTCCCCCACCAGCGCAATTACCGGTGGTGAATTCAACGGTTGGGGCGGCGCAGCAGATTGACTAAGCGGTCTGATCAGGACTGTCTCTTATGGCTATACCATCTATGAATCTAAGTTGTCCAGATGCATAGGCACATTTGTTTATTTCAAGGGGTTCGCTACAACTGCTTGTAGGCAATGCTCCATTTCCAAAAGGTCAAAAGTATATCAAATCCAGAACAGTCTTCACTGGAGCACTCACGTATCGACTCTGTAATGACTTCTGCTCTGCCAAAACTCAATTTTCTACTCCTCCTAGCAGCTGCAGCTCTATAGCTGTAGAGAAGAGACTGCAGTCATTGTTCAGAGGTTATGAACAACTGAATGCTAACAGTTGTGCTGACCTGAACTCTGAGTTTTGCCTATTCCAGTTACGAATCCTGGTTCAGTAAAACTAAAGCTTGACTTGATTTCAGTAGGACTAATTATGTGATGAGAGTTAGCTAGGCAAATAAAGCACCTACTAAACTTGGCCAGAGTGCTGCCCTTTCTCTGACATTCTCACACACATAAAGCAGAGTCCATTCATTTTGGGCTTAACCAGGCTCAAGATGTGACTGGATAGTGTTAGTCAGGAAAACTTAATGTTACTTTCTATTTGTGCCTCATTTATAAACAGACTTTTACTTCCTAACCGCTATAAAAGTACTTTTCACTTCAGTGGCTCGTGTATTCAGACACGTGTGGCTATAAACTAAAAAAAGTTAAGCACGTTATTATGTAGGTATGTGGTATGCTTACCTGTATTTGCAATCCAGTATTAAGCAAAACCTGATCGAGGATTTTCTCCCTCTGCTGCAGGACTTCCAGCTTCTCTTTAATGAAATACCTTGGGATAGGTACTTCTATGTCTTCCTAGAGGAAGAAATAGTCATGAGATGCCGTTTAGAACCGCATTAAAATCACATTATTTATTGAACACCTTCACAAAGCAATTAAATTGGACTGAGACTGAATATTTTGGAGTGTTGGGGAATTTGACCTCTGTAACAGCTGCTGAGCTGTTACTTTGCAATTACTTAAGGCCTAATTCAACAAAAACAAATAAATCAACTCAGTTTCTGAACCATGGCAGCCCAGAAATTTTTCTTTTTATAATGGCTCAATTATATTATCAAACTGTTAAAATATTTGGCAGGGTTGCTGGAAATCTAAACATGATTTCCACCAAATTGAATACCTCTGGTTGTATGATCATCCCACTTCTTTTTTTTTTTAATCAACATGAAAAATAGATCTGTTCTCTTGCATTTTTTTAACCATTACAAGGAACCAAAGCACAAGTCTACCTGTAGACAAACAGTCACCGTCTGTGACTGCAATATCTTGGTCACTTCTCAAAATCAGGTGTGATTAGAAGTGGCTGCCTTTACCTGTTTCTGTCATTAACAAGATAACTGATTCACATTTCTACTGATTTTTCTCCTGTAGAATTTCACTCTTGTTGAGAAATCAAAAAGACACAGGAAGACAAAAAAAAAAAACCCGCCCCAAAAGTTAAGATGCTGTGGAGTGGCATGACCAGTTCTTTGTATCTATTGAAGACTAGAGATAATTCTCCAAGCACATTTACTGGCAAGTACATATATATATTTTGATTTTTTGGGGGGGCTGGGGAAGGGAGGCGGGGGGAATGTGTCTTTATAGGTCTGGTTCATACTGGTGCCGTGTTCCCTATAGACTGTTTCAGGAACACCTAGAATATCTCCTCAAACAAATGGTTTACCCAGAAGGATAGAAGGAGGGATAGGGGAGACAGGCAGTAGTTACCCTGTGGTGCTGCTCCTGAGGAGATGCACGATCGATTTACACAATAGTTTGTCCCCAGGTATACGTGAACACTTGGTACTTTTGCCCAGGGAGCCTGCGGCAAGTACCAGACTTGATGCTGTGCTACTACTGCTCTCTTTTTCTGTCTGCTATGGAAACTTGGTGGGCTTTGACCTGCTCGGGGAGACCTTTGACTCGATCCTTTGCAGCCTCGATGCCACCTCTGGTGTGGACAGATGCGGAGGAGAAAAGCGCTGGCTGTAAAGAACAAGCACTGCTCCTGCCCTGACGTAGGCGTGTGGTAAATGTGCTGCTTGTGAGCCTTCCAATATTTAGAGCAAGAATTTGCAGGGAGGGCTGTGGCCAATGCAAACAGCCCCTGTGAACTGCCAACTTTAAGATTTCATTACTAATTCCCTCGGTTGCACGCTGTGCGGACCGGGACGTCCCTATTATGGCAGCATAAGAAAGCTTCCAAGTAGGACTCTGTTTATCCCTATTGATTTTTATCAATGCAGAGGTCTGGTCTGCTAAAGTTTCTAAATATTTGTCTTGTTAAGCTCCCTGTTTGCACCTTCTAACATCCTTGACTGTTGATGGAAATGATTATACGTTGTACTTCAAGAGTGCAAATTGCTTGAGGCTGGATTACAAATCTGGCTGGTTTTAGGTATAAGAAATCAAGCAGTTTCTCTGGACACCCTTGCAATAGGATGAGAGGGCTTTTACGCTGTTGCGTAGCAGTGCAAGTCAGTCAGTGTAGGGGCGGTGAGTGTATCTGATGCCTAACCTGGGCTTTAGTTACAAGTCATTCTGGACTCTGACTTTTACTGACTGTAAAGATGAGATCAGAGCCTGAATACTGGGACTGGAAGGGGTGGGGAGGAGGGAGCCTGCTCCTCTTCCTCATCTCTTTTTGGGGCTCAGCATGGAAAAGTTAGGCTTGTGATGTTTATCCTCAAGTCAAATTTGCAGCTTTTTAGCTACTCCTGGCTCCAGATGGGATTTGTGTATCCAAATACCTTTACAATTACCCCAGGAAATAGAGTGACCGAGTGTTGGAAGGCAACCATACAAAAACATGAGGCAGAGAACTAAAGAAAGATGAAGCTTGGCCTTACAGTGACATAGCAAAAAGTATGCAATATTATTGTGTAAGATTTAAAATGAGACTACTCTCTGTGTTCTCTGCCTGCAATCATGCTGGATTTTAGCTCATAAATAATATGAAAAGAAGGACTAGAGATATTCTTTGTGGACAGATTCTTTAAGAAACAGAAGTCATTTGTCAGGTACTGGCCAGTAATTTTGTTTTGGATCTAAGAACATGTGACTATTTTATTAAAAAAACCCCCAAGCAACCCAAACCATAAATCTGTATTCTTATCTACTATGGAAAACAAAGTTTGCTTGAAAAAAGCCTGAAATCTCTTCAGTACTTTTTTTTTTTTGTGGTAGGTATGTCATGCCTTCTTAAAATTAAGGTGTGGTGCTGGAATCTGAATTTATGCTTGTTTTTTAATAGATGTCAAGCATGACTTTTCAGACTTGCCAACTTTTTGCTGCAAGTGGATTTACTGATAAGTCATGAAAACAGCAGTGCTTAATAATTTCAAAATATGATTTGAAGGATCAATTTTCCTGGATATGTCTTTATACTCTCCAGTTTGCCTTCTCATAGTTTAAAATAGTTCTCTGCTATGACTAATGTAGAAGGTAAAGAGCTGGTGAAAACTCATGGCAATTACTATGCTAAATTTGCAGAGTGAAATACACAGGCAATCACAAACAGAAACATCTTTGCAAACCTCAAAATAACGCTATAAAGACATTAGGCAATTTATTCTGTGTTGTAACTGGGATCCTGAAAACAGCAGTAATTTAAGCTCCAACTTTTTTCTTCAGAAAAGCTGTCAGCAGCGGTACCTAAATTTGACAATAGGTGGAGCTGTCTGCGAGAGAAGTAACCACTTTTTGGCAGCTAATTTTTCATACTGCTTTTAGAGCGCAGCTTCAAGACTTTGCCTTATTGTCATATTCATGTGATTTAGTGAGCTGTCTGTCAGGGGGCTGCTTTGACATCAGGAAATCCTCAACCCTGGATGTTGAATACGCTCCCAGCTCCCGCCTCCTTTGCAATATGAGACTTGTCTCAGATTTCTCATTTTAGTTTAGAACTAATAGACCAGGCCATATAGCTTTTAGCATTACCTGTAATCTCTGGAAGATTACAAAGGGCAGACTGAAGTGGACTGTACCTTATCAGTTGCCCATTTTCTGTCTAATCCCACAGTGAAATCAGGCAGAGTCAAGCTGCTGTCATTAATAGCGAAGCTGTCTAAGCTAATGTGACTTCACGTGAGGACATGTGCAAGTGAAAGACCTACAGAGCCTATGCTGCTATGGAGAGGCAGAAATGCAGCATATTGATCAAGTGGATCAGCTTTAAAATCTTACTCTTGATCTATGATGAACATTAGGTATTAATATGCTCTGATCTTTAATAAAAATGCCATAATTAGTTCACTAGTATACTAGCGAACGTGCAGGAAGTGAAATCACTTGGTGGGACTTCACAGACTGCGAGTAAATGTGGCTATCCTTAAAATACAGGATAGGCAAAATTCCTATGAATTTGCTCATAGTAGAGGTAGACCTACCGGGAGAAGCTTTAGATCTTCCAGGATATTATCAATGTAATGAAACTCTGAGTTCTCCAGCTCCACCATTTCTTTTTTCATCTCCAGGATCCGGCCGATCACACCATCTAGTACTTGCCGAATGACTGCCCGTTTCTGCCGGTGAACGAGTTGGTCGTGGGCCGTCTCCAAGTTACGGAAGATTTGCATGTATTTGATGTAGGAAGTGGCTAACATCTTGAATACTTTCACGCGGTCCTTCTCTGGCTGGAGGAACTCTTCTCTTTCTCTCCGGAGCTGGATGTCGAGGTCTTTCTGGGCATCTGTCCACATCTTATTGTAAGTGCTAATTGAAAAGAGAAGACTCTGTTAACCTGACGTGAAAGGAAGAGTTAGAGCCCTGGCGTCATTGCGTGCTCTGTGTGTGGATTTCTCAAAAGAGCAAGCCTGGAAATGTGAGCCATTATCTTTTTATAAAGAGATTGTAACTACAGTGTATTTTAAAAACCATTAGCAAAAGTTTCTCTTTCTGATTGTTTTAAAAATAGGAATCTTAAAATGCTGTTTTAATAACGAAAGCTTAGAAAGCTAAAAACTTTTCAACTTTACCCTTAACACGCCTGAAGCATCCTTCAACTGCTTGAAGCTACAAACCCAACAGTGCCACAAGTTTCATTTGATTGTGCTAATTGAGAAAATGGTCTAATAGAAAAGGTTTCTCTCCCCAAAGCCCTTACGATGGGTAAAGGTCTCTTTTAGGTCTCTTTGTGTTTGGGATGAGGCCAAATCCATGTCTCTAAAGTGCGTGTTGCTTTTCTGCCTTTCTGAAGTGGTTGCTCAGAGCTAATTGTGCAGGGTAAAGGCTGTGTGGGTGCCAATGCTAAAGCATAGCTGTGGGTGCTATTTAGAATGTGAAGTGAGGAAAATAATTTGATTTATGTCTATGGCAGCAACTGAACTCCAAGCAATTGCTAAATGTCTGCTCTAGTGGCTAGAGGACTAAGTGACATGGAAGATGTCACCTAAGGCCAGTTTAATTTCCAGAAGCGATAATGCTGTTTACTTGGTAGGTTCAGTAGGAATAGGTGGAGCTTTGATGTGAGCATGGGCTGGCTCTCAGTGGTAAAAGCAGATCAGTGCAGAAAATCATGGGAAATCATCCTAAAGGAGCAGGAAAAGGACTCTGGGCAACGAGGCTTTTATTTGGAACAGCAGGTTTGTCACTGACAGGTGCTAACATCTGCGGTAGCGAAAGACCCTTTTAGGTCCTGTTCTACTTTGTGACCTCTCTTTGCCAGGTGGAGACACTCTCTTGGGAGTGACAGGTGTCAAAAAATCTTACATCTTTGAAAATACTTCTCTACCAGCAGCAGGGCTAAGAGAAATTTCTGCTGCATGGAGACTCGGTTATGCTGGGAGAAAAACAGTTTCTTGACTCGTATTGTCAGGTTTGCAGGAGGAGAGGAAAACGGTGGGCTAAGGTAACAGAGAAAGCTGGCTTTTTTGTTTCTTAGACCTAGAAAGAAAGGCTGTTGGCCTCGATGGTGCAGTCTAGACCCATCCACGTGCTTAACCTTGCTCTGGCTTGCTGTTCCTAGAGCCTCTCAGAGAAGGATGAAGACAGCAAAAGGCCCTGCCACCATTAGATGAGCTTTCAGAGCAGACCTGAAGACACAGGGAGTGCTTGTGTATTAATTCTGACAAGAAAGCTGGGCAGCTGTTAAGGTTGCTTGTGCTTGGTAATAAAAGCCTAAACTGGAGCTCTGTCAGTTGATCTTACCATTCCCAGTCTCAGAGTACAGACTGATCCCAGGCTTGTGCTGCAAGAGGGGTGGACAGGACAAACTCCAGCCCACTAGTGCCCCGAGCGCGGGGTGTGCGCTGCAGGTCCAGGATGCTGCTGGGACTCCCTGCAGCCGTCAGCAAAAACACCAACAATCTGAACCCTGCCATTGAATCTGCACCATTAACTTTTTAAAGTGCATATTATACTTTTCAGCTGACCTGGGTTTCTGCAGGATGCAGCTGGTCTTGCTTTTCCTAATGCCTCTGCAGCCCACCCAGGTCTTTCCCTTTCCTTTTTTCCAACTTCATTTACATCCCCTCGCACCACCCGAATCCCTCAATTGCAGCAATTAACCCGGGTGCAGGAGATAAACAAAATAAAACCAGCAGAGTGGAGAAGATTGGTGCAAACAAGACCAGCATTAGATCTGACCTAACAGCTCTGCTGGCTGATGGATGGGAATTTTGCACGCTTCCGCTGAAGTCAGGACACGGAAGAACATATACTGATGTGAGGTTCACGGGGTTTTCCAGCACAGGAGGAAACAAGGCAGTATTGTACTTACTTAGCTGTGCCTACTCACAGACTATTTGATAGTAGAGAGGTTATAAACCTCAGAGGAAGCCTGGTCCTGCAGGTTGTCCCCAAAACCATACTGTTGATTTATGAACAGCGGGTATCCTTGGGCTAAAGCGTTTCGAATGCAGGTTATTGCACGGAGACAACAGATTGTACCGCAACGAGAACCGACTCCGCGATTGTCCACTCCAATTTACAATAATCTCCCTTCTTCCCTCCTCTGACTGAGGAATGTCAAGTGGTTCCTCCTGCTGAGCCAGCTAATATCCAGTTTCTTTTTATATTTTGAATGACTTTTTGAGGGAGGAAGGGGGGACAGAGTGCTTTAGCCCTTCAGAGTACGTTAACATAAGGTAATATAGATGGAATGTAATTGCTTCCATAAAGCATTAGTTGATCAGATAAGCATTAAGATGATTGCAAGCATGTTGCTGTGGGTCAGATGTTAAGACTATGGATATTGTGGTATGTTTGTAGCTATTGCAGCAGTGATGGTCTGCGCAAAAGAAGGGACAGGCCCACTGGAAAATGAAGTGTTGAAGCAGAAGATTGATGTGGAACTGCTAAATTTTTAGCTGTGGTAAGCTGATAGTTCCTGCGCCCCCATTGCGGTCGGGGTGACGGACACCCTGGGGGGACCTGGCCCTAGTGCTTCAGTTCCTTAGGGACGTGATGGGGAACAGCAGGTACTTGGTAACTGGACAGTGCCAGCGGAAGTGCGATTTGAGTGTCTCTTTGCTTCATCCTGATTAAAAACTGGAGAACACACGCACAGCCATTTGTTTCCCCTCCCCAAAACAGGATTAAAATAATTATTTCAGGTTTTACTAGTGTCCAAATGGGAGCCCTTCTGGACTAGTTTGAAGGATCAGATGTGCTTGGTGTTTATAGCCCTTTCTGGAGGACTTGGCAGGGCTGCTATAATCCTGAGGAGCCCTTCAGCTTTGGAGACACACACGTTCAAGGGTGGTCAGGAGGCGTGATGCATGTCTTCAAGGTTACGCATTAAAAGCAAAGGACAGGACTGATTGTCCTTGCCTGTTAATCAGACAGCATGCAACCCCTAAGTCCCTATTTGAATTTTTGCCTATTTACCCAGTCTCCCTTTGCATTAAGTTGTAAAGTCCCTCAAAATTGCTTGCATGACGCAGCTCTGGGTGCGCTGGCTTTTTATTTACTGTTACTGGTTCAATTCGTAGGCTTGTTTCTGTTCTGTAACAGGAAGGTTGCGAGCTGTATCCCTGCCAGAGGATGATATTGTATCAGAGATGGATTAGAGCATCTGACTTAAGGTCCGAGTGGTGGTAACCAGCAGGACAGAGCCTAATTTTCCTACTCAAGGTATAAGGTTATTAAATGCTGGAAAAGAAGGAAGATCTGTCTCTTGATCTTTGCAAGTGTATAGCAATATAAGGAATGCTGCAAATTGTCATAGCAACTACAAAATAGGAGTGTTATGGGGAAAATAAGCAACGCTGTAATGGGATGAGTAAAAAAACACATAAAGTGACTTAACTCCAGAGCCCCGAGAGTGCTTTCTGGCAGCTTACAGCTTGGAGGGAAGGTCAGGGTTTTACTGCCTAACTGGTGTCCCTTCTCCTTGCTCCCACAAAGTAGAAACTGAGTCTAAAACAAGGGCTTAAGATGACTCTTTTGCCATAGCATGACTTCTAGTTTGAGTCTCACTTTTACTGCTCAAAACAAAGCCTGCTCTGCTTATTTAGTGATGCACAGAAATATGTTTTTCTGCTGAAGTTATAAAGAGATGTTTAAAACCCTGCCAAATTATGCATCACCTCATTTTAATATTCCAGGGTCCTCTAACTCTGCCTGTTTGCTTGACCTATCTCTTGGAAAAACATGTAGGTTTTGAGTACAGCTGAGATTAGCCTGCTTACTTGTGTTGAATTGGTTTGGAGACTTAAGCATGCCCTTCTTGGAAGGATTTGTGCTGAGCATGCAAACTGCCCCTTAGTAGTGGAATCTGGCATCAGTGGGGTTACCTTTGTGTGTGTGGGTTTTCTTTTTTTTTTTTTTTTTCCCTCTCCCCTCCCTAAAGTGTCTTGGTGTTTTTACTTAGCTGCCAAAGGGAACACTATTTCTGTTATTCCAGGACATGGCACAGTTTGTACTCTAAGCTGTGTCTGTCTCTGGATTTGTATATGGGTGGCTTTGATGCCTGGTTTTTCTGGGCTGTCCTCCGAGGACAGAAATATCTCACACTTTCACATGCCAACCGTGCAAATGCAGAGTGTAGTACTGCATGGGCCCTGCTGTTTTTTTCTGATGAATGGGCACATGTAAAGAGATGGATGGGATAATATTTGATTCTGACTTGGCCCAGGTCTCTTCACCTAATAGGGAAACTCCTGTTTGATTAAATGAGCGCTGAATTCTGTGTGTTTTCAAACATTTCGGAAGCATCCATGCTGTCAACTGTAAGCTACCTGCATTTTTCCTTTCTCAGAAGATGAAACCACACTGTGTTGGGCTAACAGGGAATGGAGAAAGCACCGGCAGGGCTTGTGAGAGCGAGGGGATGCGGAGGGCATCAACAAGGAGCCCAGCACGTATTCACCACCGCGCAGATCAAGCCAAGAGTCACGGAGCAGAGGAGAGGCGGCCGAGACTTGGGTCTAGCGACAAGGAAGTGCGTGCAGGGGCCAGTCCTCAGGGTCTCCTCTAGATAGTTGGGGCTTGACAGGTCAGCCATTGTGCTAAGCCCTGGGCAAACACGGGGGAGGGAAACCCTGCCCTGCAGCCTCTGTAAAATAAAGAAACAAGAGACAAAGGTTGGGAGGGGAAAGTGAGGCCCTGAGAGGAAAAAAGGGGCTTGCACAAATGCTGCTGCTTTTCTTTTTTTTTTTTTCTTTTTTCCCCTTCTTTCTACAAATCACCAGACTTAAACCGACTGCTGGCTTATTCAGGTCAGCGGTTACCTGCTCCCTCGCTACAACCTGCTCGGATA